CACAGTTGTAAGTTGCACCCCAAGTTTAGACACATTAAGGTGTATGTATGTGTATATGTATGTATGTATATGTGTGTGTTTGTGCATGTTTGTCTTGTAATTGATAAAATACCATTTCTGTGTGGTAAATATAATGCTATAATTGAAGATTAAGGCTTCAACCTAAGAGGATATGTAATTTATCCCTTTCTTCTCTTTGTCATTGGTTACATGGTATTCTTTATCTTCAGTGTCTTGAACGTGGAGGTTATAGGCCTTGTCTATATAGAAAATATCATTTGGCATCATTTAAGTAGTCCTGGGGAGGAAAGGTAACAAGCCAAGTTGACAAGGCCTCTGCTGTATCTCTTCCCCGGGCTGTTGGGAGAAATGTTTCCGTGGACCAATTGCTGGGATAAAGTGACTGCACATGACTATACCTAAAGCCAGCTGGTTTTAATAACAGTGAATTGAATTAACTCAATTGGAAAAGATTGGTAGCTGCTGTCCTCATCCTGCAGATCTGCTCTAAAGGAGAGTCTGGCAGAGAGCCGGAGACCTGTTCCTGGGAAAGGGGAAGATGCTGCCGGAGAGGAACAATATGCATTTCTTTCTGAGTCCATTTCCTTTTAAACATTTTCTATGGCAGAAATTTAATTGACTGCCAAGGCACATTTGAATTGGGAAGCAGTGTGGCGGATGGGGCGGGGGCATTCCCCATTTATTAGATGTGTTTTAACTGGCTCTTGTACAGGAAAGTGGGGGGAAAAAATGTTTGAGCTAAAATTAGAAATTTCATGTAAAAATTCAGGTTTCTGGTTTCTCTTAAAAATCAGGAAAATCCATCAATATTGACCCACATTCTAGCTCACAGTGGGTACATACACAGTTGGCACCTGCTTGGGTACCTGGAAGGTCTGGCAGAATAGATAGCACAGTGGTTTGAATCCTTTTGGAGTTGACAAACCCTTATGGGAATCCTGGTGCCATCACTGAAAACTGCCTCAGGCTGATATACTTCTAGGCCCAGTGAACTCATGTGTAGAGTAATGTCTGTCTCTCCAGGTTGTGGTGACCTTTAAATAAAGAAATATATGTGAAATGCCTAGTACTTGCCTGGTACTAAAAAATGCGCTCAAGAAAATGTGTGTATATCAGTTATGATCATTGGAATTTATGATTGGGTTAGATTATATAAGTGAAGATTTTTGTCAGTTAAAGAGTACAAAAAGGGGTGTGTGCAGAGCAGAATGAGGAGAAGATAAGGGGATGAAGAGTAGGGGGACATGAAGGAACTGAACACTAAGTAAGTGTTGGCACCACATGATGATCTCTGGGTGTGCCTAATTTCCCCTCCTGTGTTGGTCCTAACCTATCTTTCTATTGGCGGTACCGCAAATAGAAATAAGATCGTCTCCGAAGCACTATTCATTTCTCACCGAAGAGCATTATTCAGCATACTGCAGTGACCGTATCTCGTGGGAGCTCTGTAGTTCATTTGTGTCTCTTAAGTACTTAGCTTGTAGAAAAGGTGTGACCGAAGATAATAGGTGTTAGCTAGCTGCAAAGGGGGATGTTATTTATCTCTCCCCCCCATTTTTCCTTATGAATGACCTCTGAGTTGGTAATTGACAGGGATTATTGCCATTTTTTTAATCTCTGATAGGAGGCTGCTGGAGTCTTCCCTCATTTCATTATCCCGTTATGATGGAGCAGGATCCAGAGAGCACCCAATATACCCAGACCCAGCGAGGTAAGGCCAAAGTGAGAAATGGCACTAAGTGGGGGGAGGGCGCCCTCGGGTTGCCGAGCCGTTGGAAGCCCCGTTCTGTGCCTCTCTGGCCCTGGTGCTCTTTTACTCTTCAGTTACAGTTTTGAGACAGGTGATTCAGGTGATTGGGAAGTGTTGCAGGTAAGTGAACAGAACCTCTGGTGACAGAGCTCTTGTCCTTTAGGGCACATTTCCAGAGGAGTGATCTGAAAAGACCACTGGCAGAGTCACATTATATTCTTTTTCTGCTGATTGTCAGACAGGCTGTTGCCATTCAGAGGGACAGTCAAAAGGGAAACAAGTTTATTGAGATTACATACAAATTCAAACAAACAAAAAGTACTACTAGTTCTCATTTGAGAGAGAATTTAGAAGCTATATCAAAAGGCAAAAACTGAGTTATTCAGATGTTGAATTTTTAGAGACTACCTTAAGGAAGAGATAACTGACAAAAGGACCACTGAATAAAAAACAAGTGGACATTTTATTAAAGTGTATGCCTTCTTCCTGTTAGAAAACAGTTGAAAAGTTCTTGAAGAGATTAAAAAAGAATCAGATAAGTTCAAGGCCTATCTTTACTTGATCCTGGAACCAAGGACTGGTTGTTGAGTTGATGAATAACATTTATCTGTAGAGAGCAGCCAGTTGGGATAGTCTCAGTGGAACTTAACTGATTCTATTAATGATCTGAAAAAGGGATGACTTGGACATTATTTAAACAATAACATCGTGCATTGTGAGTGATTGCCAAAAGGGTAATTTACAATGGTGTGTCTGGCAAGTTAATAATATAGGCTGGATAAAGCTAAATGAATGTTGCTCTAGATTAAGAATTTCAAGTCTTGGACCGAGTTGATTCCAGAGATTTTGAGTGATTTTCTTGTTGCCACAGTTATGTCCTGATACCAAGTATTCCTTCTGAGAACACAAGGGAAAAGATTCCCCTTTATCTTCTTCCTTTTCCATACTCCAGAAAAGGCAAAACTGAGGATCAGGGAACATGGGGACTGATGACTTTGAAACAGGTATGCAGTTAGATGATGACCGAAGCCAAGAGGTTTATGTTAGTCTCTAATCATATTTGAGGGTTACAAGCCCCAAATGAGAGGAGATTTTCACATCAATCATATACTTGAAACACTGAGACAGAACTTGCTGTAAAGCAGTGTGTTTTAGTACAGCAATGGGTGTCTCATCCCCACAGTTTTTAACCTAACAGAGTTAAACAGTGATTCTTAAAGACATTATTTGTCCTCCTTTCTTGTATTAAATATATTATTTATTTCTACTCACATCTCTTTATCACAGAAAGTGTCCTACTTTATGGTGCTGGTATTTTTGGATTTCCTCTTTGAACATACTTTGTTTTTTGGGAGGGGAGATATTCTACCTTGAAGAAAAGTTGAGGGTTTATTTAAACATTCAAAATTTTCACTTGGAACACTTTAGAGTTTGATAATTATCCAGCTCTTCAGTAGGAGGATGATCGTTACCTCATTACTGGCTGTTAACTTTCTTGTTCCTATTACACTTCACCCTACACAGTATGTATAGGTCAAATCCTTTGTTAGACATCCCAGCATTCAGATCCTTAGCTTCCCTCTGGATACCTAAAAAGATAAGTCTGGGATGTACTTATATTTAACAATTATTCCAGGAATCTTTTTTTTTTTTAACCATTGATGCATAGTTTTGTAGCATAGAGAATTTCTTTGCTATAGTAAAATTAAACATTGGGGTTGCCTAGTGCAAAAACTGTGCCCCTACATAATTAGTAATCTTCATTATCATCAGCATCAACCTTATTTCTATTTCTGTCACCTACTACAATTTTTCCATTAGGGTAGGCTAGCAACCCCAAACCGAGCGTACTTATGGTCACTTTTCATAATCAGTTCCCAAAAAAGGAATATTCATTCTCTTCTTGGAACTTCGGTTATATAATTTTCTAGTCTGATTGACTTGAGAATTTAACCAACAATGGTTGATTTCTGCTGGAAGATTCCTGTATATTTGGTAGATACAGAAACAACTTGAGTATTGACGTCTGGCTGTTGAAAATTTAGGTTTCTGTGATTCATCCTTGTAAAATGCATGGGAACAGGGCCCAAGCGGATAATGAAAGTCCCAGCAGGGGAACCTTTTAAGAACTGCTTCTCGTGCTCTAATGATCTTGGCCAAGGCAACTGCAGATCCCATACCCACTTGCTTTACAAAGATAGTTTGGATTCAGGGGGGCCAAATACAGCCTATTGTTCTGTAACACAGATTTTTGAGTTTCAAAGATTGTCAGCTGGTCTGCTTAGGAATTCCACTTGATGGTTGACTAGAAGGGATACCTCCTGATATAAGGCATTTCAGAGACAGTCTTGTTTCCTACAGCAATTGTGTCAGCTTTCCTGTGGCCTAAAGGAATAGGCTTACCTGAGGCTTTGCCCAGAGACTTTGTTTAGGAGTAATGAAAAGATCAGGTGGCAAGATGTTTGTAAATACTTCCCCTACCATATGCATATAACTATTTCTATTCTCAATCAGTTTTTACAGATTTTCATTAAAAAATATAACAAAAGATAAACGCTTTTCTCCTGTTATATTCCAACATTTAAGTTAAGATCCCCAGAAATCCTCATTAGGATCATTGTTTCCTTACCTTTTTCCTACTTGTAATGTGTACAAATCATTCTTTAATTTCCCCCCAATTAAACATTTATTTTAGAGAATTTTCCTTGTGTATATAGCATTAATTTCAACTTAATAGCTACATAGTGTTTCTTTGTATGAATTTAGTTTACTTAATCTGTTGATGAACATTTGGGGTGTTTCCCAGTGTTTCACTAATGCCAACAATGTTGCAAATGAAATTCATGTATATGTATGTGTGTGTACATATACATATCTTCATATCCTTGTATGTGTCTGTAGGACAAAATTCTTAGTGGCATTGTTGAGTGTATGTGCCTCAGGCAGGTTTTAAGTTTGGAAATCTCTTAGTAGTCCACTTAATATTATCATATAAGCTTTTTTCTGTTATTGTTCTTCTCTCACTTTCTCAATTCACAGCCTCAAATTATTTAAGTGTTTCGAAAGATAGATGAAAAACTTGAAAAAGAAGGAAATTTGGCAAATTGTATAGGACAGTAGATATTTTCACAGAGTATCAAGCCACCGAGCCATAGTTGCAAGAACATAGGTCTAGACTAACCTTTTATTAAGAATAGTCATAGTAAGTGAGAAGACACAGGGATGGTCGTTACTCTCAAAATGGCTCAGTGCTCATGTAGCCTCAGATCTGTGTAAGAAATAGAAAAATCTTATTTTCCTGTTAGATTTTCTGTTCTCCCAAGTATTTTTTACTCTTACTCTTTATCCTGAATATTTTGTGTTTCTAACATCCATGAGTAATCTGGAAGGGAGAACTAAGAGAGTCAAAGAGATGATTTTAAGGAACTAGGACAAATCTAAAGCAATGTATATTTGCTGGAAAATAAAGGAGTTCCGGTGAAGATGCTGCCTGTCTCTGCCTTCTTTAATCACCTCAGATTTACTGTCTCCTGGTCTGTTTTCTCATCATAAAATGGAAGAAGAGATGAACTTTAGATAGAGGATTGCTTACATTCCCTTTCTTTCCTTACGTTTGAGTATGGATGATTAAGAAAAGCTGTGAATCTGTATGAAGGGCACCCTGAAAAATTGAAAGGAGTCCCTTATGAAACTAAAAAGAAAGGCCCTGTGTTTTCCTCTCTGAAGGGGGCAGCTGTTGATCAGATGATGACTGATTAAACAACTTCTTTGCCTTATCTCAAAACAGAAACACTGGGGATAGTCTGATAAGCATTTTGTGCTGTACAGACCTCCCAGTGAGTTAAATGCCCTTTATTTTTCATGTCTCCAGAGTTTGCCTCAGCAGGGAGATACCATGGGAGAGCTGGATTTAACTGTCTTTCACAGTATTGCCCATATTAGCTCTAGTTTGTGTTTATCCATCTCTGTCTCTCTCAGATTATCTCCTGCTGCATACTACGCCCAGAGAATGATCCAGTATCTCTCACGGAGAGACAGTATTCGCCAGCGCTCCATGCGCTACCAACAGAACCGGCTCCGTTCTTCCACCTCCTCCTCTTCCTCAGACAACCAGGGTCCGTCAGTAGAGGGAACCGACTTGGAATTTGAGGACTTTGAGTAAGTATATGATCAGCTTGTTTTCTTCCCTCTCCCTGCCAAGCTATGAGTTCTTCCAGGTTGGCCACTGAGCAGCAGTGGTTGATATTCTTGCTTCAAACCCCAAGGTTATTATTTATGAGTAATGGGATGGGGTGAAGGGCAGAGGGTTAATATGCCCAAGGCACTCCCACCTCTGGCAGTCACCCTTCTGATTCCTGGGTGCCTGAAGGAAGAGACAGCCCACTGGGCCCCAGGCCAGACTGGGAAAGGATGGCTGCTCTTCGGGTGACATTTTTATTTCCCTTTTGTGTGAACAGTGACTGTGGAAATGCTTCTCATAGACTGTCTTCACAACATTTGGAAGGCAGGAGGGTTGGTATTTTTTCTCTTAAGCAGGGTAGGTATAGAAATTTAAAAGAAAGTACTCAAATTTCCCCAAAAGGCAGATTTCTCTTTATACCCTTGTTAGACTGATTATTTGAGGTCCTTTCCCCAACCTATACTTTCTCACTCTCCTTCAGCCCCCAGTCAGGATTCTTTGAAAGTTTCCTGTCAGATTAATGTGTTGGGTTGATTGTCTATTCCTTCCTCTTCTGGTCTTTTTGGGTGCTGGGGAGACCTTTCTAGCCGTTCATTTTGATTCTTTCCATCTTGAAAATGAACTTCCATGGCTTGCATCAAGTTGGATGTTTGGCTCTTATTTTGGTTACTATATTTTGATACCCTCAAATATACAAAATGAGAGAAAGAGTCCCCTACCCCCACCCCTTTTTTTTTCTTTTTGCTGCCAGTACTGGAATAGGAGAGTCTACTAGTCGTTTCCCTTTGATCGCTCTCCACCATGATATAGCCTCAGGGCTGGGGTCTTAAGTGTTCTTGCCTCCCTCCACTTCTTTCTTTTCCTGGAGCTGAAGGGATAATTCCTCAGGACCCTCTTTGCAGCAGAGCTTTATAAGGAAAAATAATTTCTCAAATGGGAAATCTCTGTGCCAGAGAGGACTGAGAAGGTGGGAACAACCTTTGTACCAATTTGCCTTCCTGATGTAATCCTTAAATACACTAGCAGTTGCGTACTTGGAAGCAGTGGGAAGCCTAATTGGGAGGTTCATTTGTCTGAGGAAGATGTAAATGTGAAGGAGATGCATGGATGCCCCGAAGTTGCTGTGCTGATTTCTAGTGAAGTAGGGGTGGTGGTCCTCCACTCTCACTCTCAGCACCTGTCGGCCTCCCTCAGTCCTCTCGGGGAAGGTGCATGCATGTGTTGGCTGTGAAGGCAAAGAGTCTGTTTCCTTCGCCAAATAGACACCTGTAGTGAAATATGTTCCCCTGCAGATATGATTATTCTTCCAGCACCGGAGTCTATCCAGAGAAGCAGTTTCAATGCACATACCGAGGCTGCCAGTATGTAGTGCTGCTGAAAAACCTCAGTAATCCTGTGGGGCTCTGGGAGTCAGTGCCGACTGCTTGGCCCTCTCTCCATGCCTTGGGAGGGCTGTTATCTCTTTGCAATGGTGAAATGTGGGGCTTATGCCTTTGAGCTGTATCTTGCCTCGTGACTTGTCCTTCACAATGGAGTTCTGGGTTAGTTTAAAATGTTCTGTTCTCATCTTACCTTCTCTTTCTTCTGCTACCACCTCCTCCCTTTCCCCTTCCTTCCCCCTCGATTTTCCTGTGTCAGACTGCCTCCTCCTTGTGCGCCCCACAGCCCACCTGTGCTTTTTACCTCCCCCCTGGCTTCAGCACGACCTGAATTTACATTGCCTTCTTCACCTTTCATGCACTGACTTGCCATTGTTTTTCTTAGGGGTCTGTTATTGCTCCCTAGTTAGTAACAATGGGCTAATTTTTCTAATGGCCCTCCAGTAGTCCCTCCCCTGGGTGTTTGCCTTTGTCTTTGGGCTGATGCAGGCTGTAATCTTGTTTTTAATAGCAACTGTGGATTAGTCACCTCCATATTAGTAGTCCAGGTCTTCCAGTGAAGGATGTTGCTGGCTGGTTGATGCAGTTACACTCTGTTCATTCCTTCTCAGTCTCCTTCCCTGCCCTCTTCCCCACATTGTAAACTCAGTGTTGCCCATGGCTGCTCCTCTTCGTTTAATTTCTAGGTTCTCTAAGGAGTGGGAGTGAAAAATTAGGCACTGTAGCAGCCCATTTTAACTTCCCTACCCTGGTCTTTTTCCTTAGTTTTGATAACTAGAAGGAAAGATAAAGGCTGTACAGTCATGATTTGTAGTTCTTTCAGATACAGAGAAGTCAGTCAGTCTAGATGTGGTAAGAATCTAAACACTGAGGGAGACTGTTCTACAGGGTTTCCTAACCCTCACAGCATATCACACTCCTGCTTTGCCACCCTACTTCGGGCCTTGTTACTCACCAACCATTTGTTAAGTCCTGGAACATTTTGCCATTCTCTAGCTTGTCCCCTGCAGGTGTGTAGAGTCCCCAGAAAACAAAGGGAAACATTGCCTAGATCCCAGGTTTTTTTGATTTTCTTCCATTATCCATTAAACGAACGATGTCAGTTATAATAGTATTGTTAATATCTATTACTAGTTTATAGCATATAAAACATTTATAATACATAACTATCGTTATACATAATGTATATGGATATATATATATATGCATGCTTAATCTTTAATCCTTACAATACCCAGTGAAACAGTTATTTATTCCATTGTGTTGTTTTTCTAAATGAGCGTACAGAGACTTGACCAAAACCAGATATATCTAAAATTAGAGAACAGGGATAAACATATTGTCTGTTGACCTGCAGATTTAGAAGCCTTTAAAATTTATGTACAGCCATATTCAAGCCCTTGCTTCATGAACTTGCTGTGCAATAAAACTACCTAGAGTTATTTCTCTGGAAGATGTCTTTGAAATTTGGTCATCATCAGGTTAAATTTTCTGGGTTTTTTTTTTTGTGGTCTGGATTAATGACCATCTTCCCAAGCAAGCTTCTTCTCCTGCCATTTATGTTGGTCTGTGGCAAGGATTGAGACTGTAGGGTCCCGATGTTTATCAAAATGCACAAACAGGACATCCAGAAACCTGCTGTCAGCAAGTCTGTCTAGAGCCCTCAGCTTCTAGCTTTGCATAAAGATGTTCACAAGCAGGGTAAAGGTGTCAGTGCCCCTGACGTTGCTGTCTGCCTGCTTTTGAGCCCTAGAATATAGATGGCAAATAAGCATAAGGAATATTTCCATTTTCATTTTCACCATCCCTTTGACAAGAGGGGGGAGGCCTTTGTGAATCCCAGGTTAAGTACTTTATCCTAGCAGTTGCTGAGTCCTGGGAAAGAGGTGGTGTATGTGATTTTTGATTATTGTTCCAGCTGTCTTCCCTCCTTCCTCATTTTATGTATTCTAAATGTAACTATAAAATTTGCGGCCATTTACAGTTTATTCTGGTGTCTTTTTGTAACTGCTTTACCTTCCAGTGCAAAAGGAAACCCTGACCTAGTGTCTGAGAACTAGAGGAGCCTCAGATTCAGCCAGCCACACATATCACTTATCTCCAGCATACATACCAGCCACTGGGTAATCGTATTCAACTTTGTAAGCATTGCTGTGAGCACAGAAGTGAACAGTCCTTTTTTCACTGTTGTGACACTGGATTACTTTGGGAAAACATATCAGTTAGAATTCTAGTCTTTTAGCTTTAAAGTGCGGTTTCTTTAGATCTACATTTATTTTCTTAACTCTTGTAATTTATCTAAGTGTCGTTGGGTTTCCCTTTATCCAGAAATCCATATTGTGACCAAATATGCAAAAATGTTTCTCTGTGAGTGCGACAGTCATTTCTGGGTGCTCCCTGGATCCTGAGTTTGGCATGATATGTTCTGGCAATACTGCATACACATACACAGAGGAGCTTTTCTTTTTACGGGCTCCTTTACTTGACACCTTCCGCAAGAAAGTCACTGAAAGGTCTTCTTGGCATATGGTGTAACTGAGGAGAAGCTGAAAGCTGTCACTCAGCTCTACCATCTGATTAGAGGTGACATAGGGGAAATATCTTACCTTTACTTCAGATTTAATATTCTTCACCTGCCCCTTTACCATAACTGAAATTTGGTTGAGTCATAGCGAAGAAAATGTGTTAGAAACCTGATATCTAGTGGCA